CTGGCCTTGCTGTCCTGGACAGCCCAGGTGCGCTGGGCAGCAGCCTAGCTGCTGCTTCTGCTGTCCCGGACAGTTTCAGATCTGCTGCGCTGGGCGGCTTTGGAACGCTGGGCAGCAGCATTTTTTCATCGAGGGGCGCTGAAAATCAGTCCAAGGTTTGTCAGGGAGAGCTAGGCAGTGGCCTGGGAGCACGGGCTGATCCGATTCTCACTCGAGGTGCTGATTTGGGCGCCTTAGGTGCTGATTTTTGCGCCGAAAATTCTGCTTTGTGCAATATTGAAGGGCCAAGCACCCTTCAAGCTACTGGGCAACTTTGTTTTGATGAGCAACAGCAGTCAGGCACACTTTCAGGCGTTGGGCTAGACATTGCAAGTAGTAAGGAAGCTTTGGGTGCTGCCCTTGATGATCAAGCCCCTATTGTAGCTCCCCCGATTCAAGTTCCTCAAGACTCTCCCAATGGTGATTTGGACTACTCCTTAAGGCCCCGGAAGAAGAAACGCAAGAGCAAAGTGGGACTTGATGATGACGGGTCTAAGGTGAGCACCCTTTCTAGTTTGTTCTGCTCAGATGAAGATATTTCAAGGCTTGTTTTTACTTATCGCATCCCTCCGACCGTGTTGTGCCGTCGGGCTGAGTTGGGCGAGTTTGCTTGCGATGACTCTTCCGGGGATATTGTCGTTTACGAGGAGATGCTTGAGGCTGGGTTAAGATTTCCCATGTCCTCCCCCATTTGTCGTGTTTTGCATTACTTCTCTTTGACTCCGGGGCGACTAGCGCCCAACGGTTGGAGAGTCCTGCTCGGTTTTCTTGCCTTATGGAGAAAGGTGCACCACGAGGATGCTTCCCCTATGGAGTTTCATGCAGCATATAATTTGAGCGAAACCCCTACACCAAATAGGGGATGGTATTATTTTACCGCGCGGAGTGGTACAGTGCTTACAGGGATGCGCTCTAATTGCGGCGGCTGGAAATCTTGTTTCTTCTTTATTGGTGGAGAATGGGCTTCAGAAGCCGACAGAGTTTTGGTGCCAACACATTGGGGTGCTGCTAAAAAGCCCGGTATGCTGCACACTTCTTCTTTTTTCCCTTTTTTATTCTTGCAGCGAGTAAGAGGGTGGTGGTGTCCCATTTTTCTAGCAGGAGCCCTCTTTCTTCCAAAGTGATAAGGACAGATGATGCCCCCCATGTGGCTTCCATGGTGGCTCCTTCTCAACTGGCAACTTCTCCAACTGCTGCTCCAGAATCTTCCTTGCCAGGCACATCTGTTCCACCTTTATCCTCTCCTCGTGCTACCCCTCCTTTGTCTCCTCCTTATTCAGGAACTTCTACCTAAGTGCCGATTTGGGCTGGTTCTATGATGGGGAGACTAGCAGCTATCAGGGCAAGGCTTGAGAGGTTTGTGTTTGGGCCAGAAGTTTCTGAGCTTAGCGCTTCGGGCACTGATAATATCGTCAACACGTATTTGGAAGGTCTGGCTCAGGTAAGGGTCTGCTATTTCCCTTTCTCCAGTCGTTTCCTGTGTTTTTGACTTTTTTTTTTTTTTTTTTTTTTTTTTAGGTTTCGACTTCCTCCATCTGCTTGCTTTCGAGGGCCTATAATCAAGACAAGCTGAAGCTGGATCTTAGCCTTGTGCAGAGGGAGCTTATTACTGCTCAGGAGAGGATTGTCGAGCTTGATTCTGAGCTTTTGGTGACCCGTGAGAGGGACGTGCTCCGGGAGGGTGAGCTTGTGGCAACACATGAAAGGTTTTCTAATTTAGAGTCTGAGCTTCTGGTGGCCCGCGAGAGGGACGCGCTCAGGGATGGTGAGCTTGCTGCAGCCCATGAGAGGGCCCCTAAGCTGGAGGCTGAGCT